TTCGCTGGGAAAAGAAGCGCGGCGTAGGTCGCGGCGATCGCCGGGGTCCTCGGGCGCAGGACCTCGTCGAGTTGGTGGCGAAACGCCTCCTGGGCGACGGCCGCGGCGTCCGCCAGGCCGTCCTTGACGTCTTTCCCCTCATAAAACACGCGGTTGGGCCGATTCCGCCGGCGGTATTCCCGAAGAATCGCCCGCGTGGGGTCGTCAGGGGGGTCCTCGGGGGTTAACACCGCCGGGGTGGAAGGGGCGGGGGGCGGGGGACGGCGCTCCGCCTGCATTTGGCGAACCGCGGCCTGAATGCGGTCGAGGGAGGTGGTTGGGGGGGGCGGCGAGCATCCCCCCGGCGCGAATCCCGGAAAATCCCGCGGGGCCGGGGGGCGGTGGTTCGTCCGACGCGGGGGAATCCCTCGCGGGAGGCCGCCTGCGCGCAAAGCGCTTCGATAACAAGAGGCCAACCGAGCCGGGAAAGGGCCCGGGGCGAAGGGCTTTCATGCGTGATGCGGCCCCGTCCGCCTCCCTTTCTTTTTCCGTTCGGTTTGCGACGACCACGAGGGATAGCGTGTGGGTATAGCCCTATTTGGATGGGGTGTAATGGAATTAATAGACTCATAAAGGGGGAATCAGATGGCGTGAAGGCGAAGTTCAGTGAAAAGAAATGGTGGGGTGCATCATGGCGTTCAGAATGAAAACCAGCAGATTCATTATTAATAAGAGAGAAAGAGAAAAAGAGAGACATCATTATGTGGTTAATACGATTTCGCTTTTTTTTTTCCCCTTTTGTCCTCCTCAGACCTGGATGTAGTTTCCCGCGGAGGATTGGAGTGTATTAAAATCACTTTTCTCCTGAATAATATCATTTAAAGAGGCCACCGTGATCACGGCGATTCCCCAACATGGATCCTCCTTCCTACGCGCCTCTTCGGACATCAACTGAAGGGTGGCTAACGCCGCCATCCACGATTCCGTCAACAGCAGCGATGAATGCCCGGCGGGGCGTCGGGCGTTACCTTTGGCAAAGGAGGAAGAAGAGGAGGAGGAGGAGGAGGGATCGTCCAGGAGGGAAACCATCGGAAAAGCCCCACACCAGCTTCGCATGAGCTCCCCCAGCACCACCCACCCCTGCTTTCGCACCTCCAGGTGGGGATGCTGCCGGGCGACGGCGAGGAAGAAGTCCAAATGCGCCTCGCAAAGGCCCCCCACCACGTGACGAACCCGCGTGAGGGACTGGAAGATCACCACGAGGCTGCGGAGCACCTCCGACGGGGTGTAGGGGTCCGTTGTTTGGAAGAATTTAAAGTGCTCCCGGTCCATCCGAGCGAGGAGGCAGGCGAGGAAGAACGCCGCGTCGTCCCCGAGGAGGTTGTGATAGCGCTTGCGATCGCGCCAGGCCGCTTTTCGGCCCTCCACCGCATAGCCCCATCGCCGCGTGTTCTTCCCTTCCATGGAGGAGGTCCGGGCTTTGAGTGGGTGGCTGTCGATCGGGGGGTAAATGGGTTTACGCCTGGGTTCGGCCTTGTCGGGCGCCGCGTCGGGCGTTTCCTCGATTTCGACCTGGGCCAAGACCTTGGCGGCCTCGCCAATCGCCTTGATCATCTCGGACCGCTGGTAAATGGCGTAATTACTTCCGTAAATCATCGTGCTGAGCTGGCTTAAGGCGGCTCGCGGGGCGATCACGATGAGATCGACCACGACGAGAAATCGCTTCTGGTAAAGATTCCCCTGCTTTTGATCAGGGGCGTGGATCGAGAGCAACATCAGCGTCGGCATCAGTGACGGGAGGAGGGGATTGACCTGGGCCGCGCAATCCAACGGCTGCCGCCGCGTGCGCCGTTCCTTCATCGGCCCCAGCGCCCTCCCCATCCCTTCCAGGCCCGCCTCGATGGACTGCTGGACCTCGTGGAGCTGCGCGTTGGGGCTTCGGCCGATGCCCAACAACGCCTCGTAGGCGGCGCGAAAGGTCCGCAAAATCGCCACGTCGCTCTCGTCCTCCGGCAGCGTTTGAAGGCCGAAAGGGGCGAGGTCGGGGCCCCAGGGGGGGTTCGCCACCCCCAGCGCCCCCGCCCCCGCCTCCTCCCGCGCGGCCTTCGCGGTGTGGGGGAGGGCGAAGAATAAATACGCCGCGTCGGGGTCGACGGGGTAGCGCAGGCCGTGCGCGACCTCCGTGCGTTGGAGGACTTTTGCCGGCCTCGCCTTCGGGGCCCCGGCGCGAGGGGCGGGGCAAAGCGCGCCGGATTCCCCCTCCCGCCACTCCTCCAGGGCCCGCGCGAACATCTCGTTCTGCAAAAGCCCCTCCACGGCCTCGGCGGAGTCGACAAAAAGCTTCGCGAAGGCCGCGGCCGCGACCATCCCCGTCTTCTGCAGGGCCTTGTGCACACTGTCCAGGCGAAGGGTGATGCCGTTGAGCAAAAAGGACAACATCGCGGGCGGGAGCTTCGGTTTTTCCGCCGAGGACGCCGGCTCGGACGGCGTGGCTCGGAACTGCATGAAATACACCACCGAATGGAGCAGGGCCTCGTTCATTGGAAGGGTTCCCGAGAGGACGAGGTCGGGGCGGTCCCACGCTCGGTACACGCGGTCCTCCGCCTCCGCCAACATCCCACGGGCCGCCTCGCCGGCGGCCCAAATCGCCGGAAAGAGCGTTTCGAATATAAATTTTAAACCCACCCGAGGCGTGCACAGGGTCGAGATGGCATCGCAAACCATAAATTGCCGCACAAAGGTGCGAACAAGATCGTCCCCGATAAAAAGCGGCGAGGCCTCCGCGCGTTCCGCGCTATCGCAGGAATGTTCACCTTCGACTAAAACAATCCCCAGAAACAGTCGCGTTACCATGGCTTTCCACTCACTTTTTTGCGTGGCCATCCAAAGCAGGAAATCCATCCACCGCCCCCAGCAGCTATTTACTTTGTTGGTCAAGGCCTGCCCTTGGGAAGCGACCGCCTTCGTTTTGGTGAAAAACTTACCATTCAGCGAACCAGAAAGGATGCCTTTGGTGAATACGATCATGTGATTTAAAAGACATTTATCATCGGCGATTTGCGCAAGCGGAATCCCCAAGAGCCGTTCAAACAACACCTTACAATTCGACCGACTCGCAGCCGCTTTGGCGAAGCCATAGAGAAGCGATACCCGCTGACTTGAGGTGATCGTCCCTTCGCATGGCCGATTTAACAGGCAAAACAACCAAAACGTGTCGTAAAGTTTCGCGAGATAAACATCGCGGTCGATCTGCCGGTCAATTTTCTCCTCGAGCGATGCACAATAGGACGCGAATCGATCCGGGAAGGAGACGACATTTCGAATTTGCTCCTCCAACGCCGTCATGTCGAGCGGGACGGCGTCCTTGCCGGAGGGGGGACCGCTTCGGGCAATCTTTTCAAGCGCCATGGCGTAGGGCGACTCCGCGGAGGTGCTTTCCGCCGCCGAACACGACGCCAGCGGGACGACGTTCACTAAGGCGTCGACCACCACATTCGGGGCAGGTACCCCTGCTCCAGCCCCACACGGCCGAAACCGGTTCACTAATAAAGAAGCCACCTCCGCGTTCGCATTTCCGATCATATGCCCTTTAAGGAGGATATAGTTTTTATATTGATTGAAGGCTTCTTTTCTTTTATTGGTCACCTTAAGTTTCAAAGGAAGGGATAACGAAGAGAGAGGAAGATATCTGTATGCCTTTTCTAAAAGAAGTTCATAGGTAGTGTCACTTTCTGGTTCTAGGAGTCCCCGTAGGTTATGCGGTTTCGTTAAAAGTATATTTGAACCCATCGACGAGGGTTTTTTTTTGTAAACTTCCAACTATTTAGGGATTCATCTGACCATTTTTCGCCCTTCTTTTTCTTATTCACCATTATACAGCTTTTTTTAAAACTGATGATTATGGCTCTTACTTCTGCAAACGAGTTACTGAATTTGTCAACACCAGAGTTTTCTCACTGATGTCATGCATGTTGTATGCATCTCGTTCGAAAAAAAGAGGTTGTACCCCCATAATACACGTAGCATGGAGTATCATTACACACACCACCGCCTCCAGATGAGGTTTGTTCACATTCTCGCGTTTTTGATCAATGTGAGAAGGAGGAAACACAATAAAGCGATTGGCTGGAAAAGCTGCATGCAACTCTGAAAGATAGAGCATTTTTTTGGCCTCTACATTGGAGTTGTTTTTAATGATTAATCGAAACCCAACTTTGTGCATCACATTACTTCTATTTTCATTGTCAGCGCAGTGAGTTCTTTCCTCGTCTTTCGCAGAAGTCATCGGCCATTTCTTTGCAGGAGCTACATCAAGAACTCTTGTAAAAGCAATCTCTGAAAGGGATTCATGCGCGTTGGCTATGGAAGCTTGATTGTTCGGTGGAAAGTGCACTTCAATAAGTTTGCGCAGAGCCGCCTGCATCTCTGGCAAGGTAGGGCAGCATGTCAACTCCACCGGGATCATGCGAAAAGAATGTTTAAATATCGGACGTGGGTTCTCGTGAAGATCCCTAAATATGCGTTCCACAAGGTGCGAAACCAGAGGATTAATCACAATTGTATGCGCAGGCAGAGTGCCACGGTTTAGCATAGGTTCCCCATCCTTATCACTTTGCATGTCGCCGCTTTTTTCAGGTGCCTTTTCCTCTGATGGCTCCTGTGGATTTGCATCCTCAGGAGCACCGGCTGTACCTGGCGGCAATTCCTGTAGATGGGTTTTCGAGGCATGGCAAAGGACACAGGTCTTTTCCGGGGCTAACGTGGGAACCCGCAGGAGTAAATAACCCTTACAGGACGTCTCGAGCTCGTGGAACCAGCGCGGCGCGGAGGCCACCTCCTCCCCCACGAGCCCGCCTTTCTCGCTCCCAGGCCCCTCCCGAGGTCTCTTCTTGCCAGGGCCCCGAGAGACCGCGGCAGAGAGCTCCATCGCCAGCAGGCTCGACGTCGTCCCAGCCCGCTGAGGCTCGCCCACTTCCCCCTCCGGCCGCACATTTTCCTCTTCGCTTTCGTTCTTTTCCGCTGTGATGCCTCCCCGGGGTGTCCCGTGGGAGGACGCCTGGAGGTCGGCGGTCAGGCTCGTCAGGTAGTTCTGAGCCTCACGGCGGGCGCGGAGGCCCTGCATGGGGTTGATGGTAAAAAGAATACCGGCCTGCCCGTCATGTGGGACGAGGATTCTGCTCTGACGACCCTTGTGAAAGCGTTGCTGTGAGTTTCGATAGCTATATGCCATTTAAAGGTGCTTTTACCCCCCAGAGGTGGTGTGGGATGGTTTGGGGTCAGAAAAATCTTTAATCACATAGAGTAAATCCGAATAACAACCAGGAGAGCAAAGAAGTGGGGAGTGAAAAAGAATAATTCTGATATCAACGAGTGTCTACACATACATATATGTTGGCTGGTAAATCAGATCGAGTTTGTACTTTCTTTTTATTGCGTTTATCAGCAGATGACAATGTAGAAAATGCGATAATAATGAGAGACAATAGAGCTAAAAAGCAACAGCACACACACGCGTGTTACTTGTTTGAGTGTATTAAGTAAGAAGTAAGTGCTAATTTTTTTATCAGCGTATTTTAATTATAATAGCTTGAATTTTAAATAATTTTTGCAAGATTTTTTTATCCTCTTTTGTTTTCTATCTTTAGTTATTTGGATCTTCTCGGGGAGGTTTACTTGGAACTCCATACATTTTCATTCCAAAGACGACGATGACTTACAATTCCGCGTTTCTGCGTGTGGCATTATACATACCCACTGCCCCATATAAACTTGTCAAAACCTAGAGGGACCACACCGGAATTGTTACGTAGAAGCTAAAAAAACTTATGCAGTAACCATTGGCAAAGCTCAATGGGAATCGTCGTCTGCAACCTCCTCGGCCTCCAATCCGTCACAAAGCGGTACAGCAGCCCGTCTTTCCCACCGTGCGGGTGATCCATCATCCACGTCAGGCCTGTCCCACGCTTAAACCCCACTGGATCAATGCTTCCCATGGCAGTTTCAGGGGAGGGCAAGACACCGTCCAAAGCTGTTGGCGCCCCTGAAGGTCAAATCTCACACAAAAGACCCCCCCCCCCCCCCCCCCTCCCTTCCTCTGAGAAGGTGGGTTTGGGTGATCCCACCGCCGGTGGAAGACCTGCCACGGAGCACAGGAGAAAGTGCGCGTGGGTCCCGGCCTGCGCCAGGCCGGGTTAAGGGCCCGCTTTACAAAGGCCCGGCTTGGAAAAGGTTCTGAGAGGGCCATTGCAGCCTTCCAGAAGAAGAGGGGGGGGGGGGGGGGGGAAGACCTCTTGGACCTTGGAGGACATCAAAGGAATGAAGGGGGAGGGGCGGGGCGTTACACCCGCTGAGGATGGGCCCCGAACGCCCCCTGCCACTACGGTTATATTCAGATCACCAGCCGCTGCAGCACAGTCTAA